AGTCCTCAGTAATTAACATTTGCTCGGCGTTTGGTTATCGCTTCATTATCTACGGGCTTTACATTAAATTGTTTTTTTTTTAGCAAAATAAGTATGACTAATGTTAAACAAGCCAGCAAATTAGACGAGCGTATCTGTGTAAGAATAATAACTTATGCACATTTACCTGAAGGACGGTGGTAGTACACCGTATGTCATTCAACATTCGCACCAGAAATGCCGTCGTGGGTCATGGCCATGCGAGTGTGCATAATCTCATGACGATTTACATCCGCATGGCATGTATGTCGATTCACACCCGCATGGCATGCTTTATGGTTAACAAACGCATGGCATACACCACAACTTTCTGCTCGTAGAAAGTACGTTTCTTCCCATGGCCATTCGCACTCCTCTTCCAGAAATGCCCAAAAATCATTTTTGTGCTGGATTTATCCATGAGCGCCGACATAACTACCTAAAAATTTCAAATAAATTATAAGCATTTAGAAAAACTCTGAAATTTTTCATCTCTGTGGGTTTTAGATGCGTACGCTGCGAAAACGGTTCAAGATACCTAAAACATGTGTATGAAAGAAAGATTTCTCTTTTAATGATTTTAAAAAAAGTCCTTGACGCTACATAGTTATCTTTTAAGATTAACTTACAAGAATGACGGGAAGGGACGCGATCGACGTCGTGACTAACAGCTTAAGTTTATAAAGTTGAAAAAACTAATTTCGATGTCCAAAAGAACGATTCTCGCGGACGAAGTCGCTGGTACAGCTAATACTAATATGACCTTAACTTTTCTTCAAGTCACAGATCTTTAACATCGAGCAAACGCATTATCACAACTAGGTAAATCTCAATAAATTCGAAATACCTATGAACGTCATACTGTAAACATTTGTGAGGGGGCTCGAGTTATTTGACATCCTCTGATTGTGACATCTGGCACTTGTAAGAACAATACTCAAGTATGAGCGTGTGTGAGTGGGATTGGCTTGGGTTTATAAAAGCGTTTCGAATTCTTATCAAACTAAGCTAAACCTTTACATTAACAATTCTTCCTTCCTTCCACTTAAAGGCTAATAAATTTACTATATCTATACTAATAGGTAAAAAGCTTAAGAGTTTGTTTGCTGGAATGCGCCAATCTCCGGAATTATTGGTTCGAATTAAAAAAGTATTTATCTGTTGAATAGACCATTTATCGACTTCGCTTAGTTTTAGACTATATAACATCACGCTGCGCAATAGAAACTAAGAAAAAGTAAAAAATGTGGAAAAAACGGGGGTTTATATATCTTTGAGATTCAGTAGTCCCAAATATTAGTATAGATAAAGTAAATAATATAAGTATACATATGCAAAATTTAAATTGTTACCCGAAATGTTATTGCGGGTCATTTAATGACCAATACATTTGTCATTAGATGCCATTTCTAAATAATGAACAATAAGTAAAGTAGATAAAATAGAAATACTTACAATTTTTTTAAGATAGTGTCCTTTTCAATTTCCGAAATTGACATGTGTCCTGTCTCCCATGAGCCACCCAAATAAACAGGTTTATGCTCATGTTACTCCCATTGTATAAACATTCAATATTGCCTTTTCAAAAGACAAAAATTCCTTACACTTCGTATACAAAAGAAAGTAAACCCAAATACAATGAAATAAAGCACAAAATCTCTTCTGTTTTTTTATTTGTTTCGACGCAGATACACGTCTAAGGCAGATAAGAGTAATTTTTTAAACGTAGATCTACGTCTCATCCTAACAGTTAAATTGGTGTAAATTATTATTTTCCCAGTTCACATCTGCCCGAAAATATAGCCGTATCTCTAAATAATATGGAAAATAAAAATGGTTTCACGGCATTCTCTCCAACTGGTTCGAGCTTTGATTTTTCTCTATGTGACTGACTAGGAAGTATACCTAAAAGGAAATATTATTATTTTAAATCTTAAGAAATACTGGTTCGAGTTAGAAAATTATTTTTGCATTGAGTAGAACATTAATCGAAGAAGTAACTCTAATGGGAGCAAAGAAACATGTGATATGTGTGTGTGAGAAAAGAAAATGTGAGAAGACGGAGAAAATTATTCATCTTTTTGGGTTGTCGTTGGGTGCGCTGCGAAAACGGTTAAAGAAATCGAAATATGCAAGAAAAAGATTCCTTTTAAAATGTTCTAAAAATAGATCCACGACATATGTCTATCTTTTAAGATTAAATTGCAAGAACGACGTCGTGGGTGAGAGTTACTTTTAAATAAAACACTTTAACGGTTTAAAACGCGATATATTAGTTAAACTTATTTGAAAATGATTTTTAACTTCGGCCCGACGTTTGGATGCTTTGCAGCCGCCGTGGTCACCGGGAGACCTCCCCGCGAATATATCGCGTTTTAAACCGTTAGTGTTTTATTTAAATGTGTACTACTCGCGTAAACTACAGACAGTTTTTAAGAGTTACTTTATTAGGATGAAGAGGTTTGCTAAAACAAATTTTGATCCAATATATTTATTCTACGAGGACGACTGAACTAAAAAAAAAGAAAAAAAAAATAAAATCTATGATAGGCCCTGGACTCAAACCACAAGCTCTTGCCATTGTCTCTGTTATGAATATTCCAACACAAAGTTCAATTGGTAAGTGTGTTGTAAATTTCATTTTGAATTCTAGGTAATTAATTCTATCTGCAAATTTAAATTTTTGGGCTACTTACATGTAACACAGTCAATTATGATTCCTTCATTATTAACTTTTACACTGCCTCTATTCATTTGTACCAAAGGCGAATCAAATTCCCTTTGCTGCAACAAAGGCAAAGTTTTCAAGATAAGCAGTAAGAATTGGAAATTACTGCTTATAACATCTTATGTACATACTTCTATACTAAATTCAGTATTAGCTTCATATTCAATTTCTGGTGCTTTGAGCTCTGACACAGCAGTAAACAATGGTTGTATGGATTTGACAGCAGATGATAATCCTTCGTCATTTAATTTTTTGACTAAACATTTCAAAATATCAATTTCATTTGGCACGGGTATGACTAACTTGAATTCCTTGTTTTCCAATGGAATTTCTATTAACTGAGAGAATATATTATTAGTTTCGTGTAATTTAGTGGGTAGGTAGAATAACATAAGAAAAATATTGAAATTTTAAAATATTGCTTAAATTGCTCACCCTTGCTTCATATTTCACATCTTCTGTGTAATTGAAACTATTGTATACAGTCACAATTGGACCACAAGCACCTACTCTGTTCCATGACATCTAAAATATAAGCTTATACGAATTATTTTATGACTTAAATAAAAAGTATACTGAAATACCTGAAACTTGAAAAATTCTTTTATGAATTCAAAAAGTAAAATGTATGCTCCTACAAACCATGTAAGACATTGGGTTGTTGTTAAATTGTGTATGTAAATGTAATAAACAAAATAAATGTGTTTTATTTAATGCATAATGCAAGTGGAAATAATGCCAATACTTACCTGAAACTTAGTAAGATTAATTAACATATAATCACTTTTGGAGCAAAATGTGTGTATGTCATAATCCTTGAATCCGTATTTATTTAACTGCAAGCAAAAGTTACGATATGTGGCTGTTAAGGGTGAATAAATGTATAGACAAAACTTATATCTTACCCATTCTGATACTGCAGTAGCTCCATTTCTATCAAATTCTGTAACTTCACCTTTGGATGCAGTATGTTTTAGTTTACAATTGGGTGATATAAAAATCCTGTTTCTTAAATCGAACCCCTTTAAACCTTTCAATTGTTTGTATAGCTGAAAGAAGGGTATTTTTAAATAAAAGCTATGTACTTGTTTTTCATTAAGGTTACTGTTTAATTGTATACAACGTAATTTACCTTCGTATATTTTTCTAATCTTCTTCCAGGTATTATAAGGGATAAAAGTAAACTACCGGCAAGTGGAGACGACAACCAATTCAGATTCTGAGAGTGAAGATTAATTAATGTAGTGTGATGTTCCATTATTTTAGATATGCCAATCAGAATTACGAAGGTTTAAATTTTAATCACCGTTTATGTATTACAATATTAGATGGTAAACAGGAAGTAGAATTCAAATGACAATTGTCAA